ACACCGAGTTCATCTGGTCCTCGTGCCGAATGAGAAGCTGTCCCATGAGCCTGCACAGTTTGTTCAACTGTGGAGGATCTTCGTCCCTGGTCGAGGACGTCGAGCTGTTCGTCCTTGGGGATGATGCTAAGCTGGCTCTCCGTCGAGATGGCTGCAGAGGCGTGGTCTCCTTCCTTTTCCTCTTTTCCTGCGGGAGTTCCAGATCCAGGTCGTCCGGTGACGCGAGCATATTTAAGAATGCCCTGCCCACCTGTGTCACACGGTCGCCGTCTTGGATTTGCATCATTTCGTCCATCATGAAGATCTGGTCGAAGCCAAGCAACAGCACAACCAAGGTTCAGGAGAGAGGAACACTGATGTTCCACTCTAGACCAAGCACTCTCATCCAAGAGACTGTAGTTCTTGGCAGTGTTGCCACACCATGAACAAGGCAGGGTATCAGCCAACGCCGGTCGTTGAGCCAAGAGATATCGAAGCATGGCATGAAGGAGAAACCCACAGCTGCTGCTATGAGTCCGATGAGTTTGAGTCAGGTGGTCAAACAACTGATCTGACTTCTCAAAGGTCCGAGAGCACAGGATGCACGAGTGGCTGAGTACCTGGCAGTGTCGCATCATGAAGGTCCATGAAGATCGATCTGGATGCAGCAGCCATTGGCCCAGTTCGGGAACCTGTGCATGGAGCAGGGTGTGAAGCTGAATCAATTGCTGAACCGAGGCCTCAGTGGGAGCCCATGGCAACATCAGTCTTCGATGATGAGGGTCACATAAGTGTTGGAGCATTGCCATCTGTCGATGGGCCGGACATCTGTGGGAGCGTGGTTGTGGAACACGACAAGGATTGCAAACACATGAGAGGCGAGCTTCATCGATCATGTTGGAGGTGAGATCAGCCGCTCTGAAAAACCCTCCGTGGTGACATTGCAAATGTCTGATCAGGTCAGCTGTTCTGGCATAAGCTTGTCCGCAGAACGAGCAAGTCATTGTCAGCTTGTGTCTCATAGACGAATCCTGCAGCGCTTCCGCCCATTTCCCGGCCTTGATCTGGTCCATGAAGATGTCATCCAGGCGGAGGACGGTGCCCGGCTCCTGATCACCCATTGGATCCAGGTGGTCACAGGATCCTCGATCAATGTGTCGTCGTAACTCCCATTGTTCCCCAAAGTGGCTGCGGCAGTGTCGGCATACGGTGGTGCCATGGACAGTGTCCCTGATGCAACAGAACCTGGAGTGATCTTCCCGTAAGTGGCGTTCAAGAGCAGTGTCAGAAGAGAAGATCTCTGCGCAGTGAACACAGAGATGATCAGCCAGGTCCTGGTCATCCTCAATTGGATATGCATGGGAAGCAGGAGCATCAGCCAGATGGCAAAGCCACTGATGGAGTACCGAGGCCTGCAGGAGGATCTTGCACTGATGAGAAGTCTTATAGTCATGTTGGCAAACATTGCATGGGGACCTCCGAGCGGTAGCCCATTTGGAGTATGGTGTTGGCTTGCAAGGGC